GTTGACAAAGCCCGTTTTTGGCGAGGACCACGGGAGGGTTCCGGTAGCAACAGCCACAACTTGTGTCTTTGGACTCCCAGAATGTGCGTATCGGGCCTCCTCAATACGTCGCAAATCGAGGAACTGTATCGGCGTCCCAGGAGATGGCGGCGAATGCATCCGCACCGAACCATCCTCCCCATGCTGGGCGAAACCTGTGGCTACGTCAGAGTCACGGAAAGCGAAGGTACACCCTGTCTGCACACCTGATCGTGGGTCATGGTGGCTCCTATGAATAGGCGGCCCGGTGGGTGGAAGACGGCGTATCAAAGCAAGTAAACTGTGGTCCTGGACCTCGGCGGCGCGGGGAAAGGACGCACGTGACAACGAGGTGTTGGGAGTGGGGGCGCGGTCCTGGATGCCGAACACCCTCTCTGACAAAGACCTCCCGCTAGTGGGGGCGCAGCCCTGGACCTCGGCGGCGCGGGGGGGAAAGGACGCACGTGACAACGAGGCGTTGGGAGTGGGGGCGCGGTCCTGGATGCGAACACCCTCTCTGATAAAGACCTCCCGCTAGTGGGGGCGCGGCCCTGGACCTCGGCGGCGTGCGGGGGCATGGATGCACGTGATATCGAGGTGTTGGGAGCCAAGGCGCGGTCATGGACTGTGGCGGAGCGTGCAAGAAATGGAGCATGCGACAATGAGGATTGGTAACCTTGGGCGCGGTCTTGGACCTGTGCGACGGGCGCAGGCAAGGCAGGTACGTGCCGAGGAGCTCTGGCGACTGGGAGCGCGGTCTTGGACCTGGGCCGCGCGGGCGGGCAAGGAGGCACGTGCCGATGAACTGTGGCGACTGGGAAGGTCTTGGACTGGGGCGCGGGCGGGCAGGAGGACGTGCGAGGAGCTCTGGCGACTGGGAGCGCGGTCTTGGACCTGGGCCGCGCGGGCGGGCAAGGAGGCACGTGCCGAGGAGCTCTGGCGACTGGGAGCGCGCGGTCTTGGACCTGGGCCGTGCGGGCGGGCAAGGAGGCACGTGCCGATGAACTGTGGCGACCGGGCGCGCGGTCGGGAGCGCGGTCCTGGCCAGAGTGCGTCATCCCGTGCGATGGCCTGTGGCGTCAGAGGCACCACCCCCAGAACGAGACAAGAGTCTCCTATAAATCGAAGAACTTAGTGACATTGAAAGGTAGAGATAAATCGGACGCACGGAGGAACAGAGCCTGATGGTGGCTCAAACTCCATTTCCTCGTCAGAGTCGTACGTTGATGGCATGGCACGGATGGGCCCGGATGGTGGCTCTTCAAAGTCGATCGGCGATAGCCGTGGCTCAAACTCTTCCTCGCCGTTAGGTAACGGCTCACCATCGAATCCAGGTCCTGGTCCAGTGGCTGCAGGTTTGCGTCTGGGAGAGCGTGATCTGCATTCGGAGCAGCTCAAAGTTGGACGGTGCCGGGCTGGCACGTGGCGGGACACGCGGCGCAATGTCTTCTTCGTCGCTCTCGACCGCTGGGCCAACGTCCTCTGGGTCGAGTCCTTGAGGGTCTTCATCCTGTGTGGGATCATCGGCCAATCGGAGAACCCCCATGTCAGGAACACGCATGACGTTCACCGCGATCCATACCCCAACTTGGTACTTCGTGCCATTCCTGGCAGGGAGACATCCCCAGCCGGCAGACGTGGGGTCCTCGAAGACCAGATGCGATCCGAGCCTGTATGAGGAATCCAGTGCAAGCGCTTGAAGACCTGGTAGAGCGTGTTCCGGACCTTCTTGGCGTGACGAGTCGACAGGGAGCGCATGAGTCGCTCCCAGAGCACGAAGTAGCGGCAAGTGGAAAGTGATTGACCGAGCTCTCCACGAGGCTCTTCCTTAGGGGGGAACAGCCGCTTGAAGGACATCTCCCAGAAATCAGGTTGTGCGTGCCGGAGATGAGCGACCTTGACGGGAATGATGGATTGGCGGAAGATGGCGTCCGTGGCATGAATGCGGTCGCCAGCGACATGGTAATCCAAGACGACAGCCGCTTCGACTTCTGGTTCGGCACGTGCATGAATATGTCGAAGGCCCACTGCGCCCAGATATACGCCAGAGCATCGTCGACGGGTGTCTGGGGATCAAAGATGTGAGTCTCATAGTCCTCCTCGTCCTCATCCGGCTCAGCTTCTTGAGCTACAATACGGCGCATCTCCACTCCTTGGCCCTGGAGGTCGAAACCCAAGTCCGTCACCGCGGTCGGGTTGACATCCATGATGGATGCGGTGATGTCCCTGACCCACTGTCGTCGGTGCTCATTCCTCGGCTGCTTGGCGTGTCGGCGGGAAGCGACGCCCATCGCAAGGTGCAAATCCTCAATGTTACCCTTCCGGTACAAGCCTGCCAGGATGCGGCTGTCCGGTACGTGGTCCAGCTCCAGGCTCGCGGGGATGCGCCACCAATCACCGATGCGGTTCCGGACCACATCGCAAAGAAAGTACGCTCCCTGACGATCCCCGATAGGCACGAATTCCGCATCCCCGTGAAGGCGGAATGTGTCTTGTGCCCGCATCCTGGTGTTTTTTGCGATCTTCATGGCGCACGTTGAGTCCAAGATCCGCTGGTAGTTGTAGCTCTGTGGACGACGGAACAAGGCGTTAAGCATGTAGACCGTTGCCGCTCCGAGTGCCAATGATGGAAGGGTGATTCGGACTTCCTCCGAATATTTCTTGTACGCTGTGACGATGTACCGCAGCGCGCAGGTACGCAAGAACTTCAGAGCCTGGTGAGGACGTTCGAATCAGTCATTTAACCACTGTCGCACGGCACTCACCACCACTCATTGTTCCTATACGTAACGACGAAGTTCTCGAGCTCTTGCTGTGTGAACACCCTCAACACACTCGAGAACGCCGACACCCGCACCCGTACCTCTGCCCGAGCCGCCCCGTCTTGCGAAGGCATCATGCGCACAGGCCGGTCTTCGTCGCTGTCATCGGAATGCACTTCGGCGTCCTCCGGAGCCGGCGTTAAGCCTGCAGCCGAGTGGAACTGAGCAGAGATCGAGTCCATGTCTTGGTCCAAAGCGTTGATCTTGCGCGGCAGCAGATCCTCCCCGGTTCGTGGTCTGAAAACACCAGGATGCAACTGATAAATGACCGTCTTGTCTGTGGTGTAGATGTTGGCATAGACGATGTTGTTGACAGGCGAGCGGGGCTGGTAGCGGAACCCAGCCAGTCGGTGTATGTGGGCGTTTACGTCGACGTAGAAGCTGTTGAACTTGACAACCTTCTTCGCCCGGTCTTCATCCATGGAGGGAAATAGATATCGGAGGATATCGGGGTGCTGAGAGCGATGCCACTGAAGAACGTGCCCCGGCCTAGACAGTTCCACAGCAACATCCACGTACCACTGCGGCCGAGCTCGGGCGTCAAGCGGCATGTCGTCGTCGGCGTCGGCCCCGGCGTCATCCTCCGGCAGGATGAAGCTCTCCGTGAATTTGTAGAACGCCGCCTGACGATCATATTGGTCCGTGAAGTTGAAAGGATTCCCTTCCTTTGTGCCCCGAAGTTCGATCATGAAGATCGCCCATCCAGACGGGCCGCTCTGGGAGAGCAATTCTCGGAGCTTCGCGGAGAACAGCGGAAGGGAATCCGCAGGTATACCGACTGAATGGCCGTGCAGAACGTTGCCGCGTCCGCGAACGAGGTTCAGAGCCATCTCAAAAGTAGCGGGCCAGTGGGCAGCGTGCTCCGGAACTGCATGTACGACCGCGGGTCTTACGGCGTTGTTGTAGATGCTGGCGAGGTCCTCCATCGAGAGCTCCACGTTCCCGTTGCGACACTCCCGGTTGGGCAGAAGGACACGGATCTGACAGCGATCCAAAGCAGTCGCCAAGCAGAAGTTGGCCATGAGATGAGGATCCCCTGTCGCCCAATTGCCCTGTAAGATGTTAGAATGGTCCTAAAGTCTGCGGCGCACATTGCCGAAAGTGCTGCTCACCGCTCGGTCTTTGTAGTGCACCTTCACATGCACGCTCTTGCGCAGCGTGCGATTGACTAAAGGAACGGGGGAAACGTTGATCGCACAATTGACGTCGATGGAACTGCTGAAACCAAGCATGGAATCAAAGTCGCCGTTGAGGGTGATGTCCTCGTCCGTGTGCTCGACAACGTTCTTCATCTCATTGAGGATGACACGGTGAAGGACGCCGTCGATTTCCACACGCCCAGCGAGCATGAGGCGGATGAACGCGTCGACCGCCTCCGGAGTAGGATCGTCGAGTAGCATTCGATAGGCTCGAGCAACGAGTCCGCCAAGTCCGGTGGTCCAAGGGGGCAAGTATTCGTCAGGGTAAGACATGGCGGGGATTCGCAGAGAGTGGGGGAGAGATGACTGAGCGAGGTGCTGTAGGATACAACTTTATGAACTCGTCGGTGTAGCGCGGGGAGAGCCTGATTGGTGTGCAGCCCTGGGTGAAAATTTATTCCACGCCCTGATTGTAGGACATACATCAGTGCGAATGGCATTCGATACGTTTCAACCTAACGGGCACAAAAACACGCTTGGTTAAGAACCTGGCGTTGAGACAGTAGCCTCATGCTAGCGGCAACGACATCTCGCCTGTAGACTCACAGTTAGCACGAAGGTGGGGTCGAGTATATATACAGCAGGAGCACGAGTGGCTAGTGCAACTGTACATTGCGCAAGTGAGGCTGGAACTTCTAAAAGGGGACGAACTAAAGCATGTTTAGAGTGGCTTGGTGTAATCCGGGTTGAGACAGAGCGCCATCTTTTGCAAACAATGGGTCGGCGAAGAGGAGGCCATACTGGAGGTGCTGCGGACTGCGCACACACACATTTACCGCCGGTGAACGCTAGCTACTAAGTCCCGGGAGGGTGATATGCAAACCATCGCAAGATGGATCAAATATGTAGCATTACTGGCTGAGCTGACTATGCACAGGTTCATGATGTGTGTTATGGCCTGCTCCGCCTGTCTGATTACGAGCTTCGGCGCGCACCTGTGACGGACGCCTAGCATACGATCGCCCACCACCTTACCTTTATATCCTCGCGCCCACTTCACTGTATCGCCACGCGATTGCCTCCTGGCTCCTCCCCGTCGCCTCTCCTGCGAGTCTCCCCACTACCGCGAGCCTCTCCGAGGTCAAGCGCGTCCTCAAATCCGATCCCGCCTTTCCGCTCGTCTCTGACTCGCCCGACCTCCGCGCTCCGCGACCGTAGCAATGTGCGAGGGCCCATCTGTCTCTCAGTAAAATAGCATTAGGATACATATCTCCCACTATACATGTGCTCATGCGACCACACATCGGACGGCGGGACACCTACAGCATGCCAAGCACGGGCGCAGGCGTGCGGCCTAAGTGGGGATCCAGGGCTCCTCCCTATAGGGGAGGCGCTGAATCGCTCTCTCTCTCTCTAAGGTGGGGAATGCATGATCGGAGATGTGGATGTCATCCTGTAGAGCGCGCCGGTGTGGATAGGCGCTCATTGAACAGCGAAGTCACTAGGCGGCCCATGGCCGAGTACGCCGAGCGCAAGTCACTAGGCGGCCCATGGCCGAGTACGCCGAGCGCTCAACTTGTAGACCGCATTCGCCTTCAACATCGCACTTGGATGGACAACGCGATTCAAGATACGAGAATCGGAGGTGAGGTAATATACAGGGAGTATCAACAAGTAGCAGTGACGCAAGCGGTAAACAACAAACGAAAACGATCATTCGTGAGAAGTCTGAGAAACTAAGGGAAGCGGTAACATGGGTGAGTCGTATAGCCAATGTCCGCACCGCAGCCGTTGGCAATTACTCCAGCGGAGTGATCAAGCCTTCCGTGTAGTATCCCGTTCACGGCCTGCAGGTAGGTCGCTGGACCGAGAAATCAACCTGTGAGAAGGCCGGCCGCTCAACATGTTGTCGAGCTCTCGATCTGCGACGGTGCTACGGAGCTTCTTCGTGGGAGGGCGTGCTTCATCGAGAGACTGGCGTGGAGAACTGTCCGCACGAGGACGGCTTTGACCAGCCTGGGGGCTACCTGGGGTGGACGAGGGTGGGAGGAATGTCACCTCTTGCACGACGACACCAGCAGCGCCGTCCTCGCCATCTTCTGACCCTTCAGCATCCTCATCCCCTCCGTCGTCGCTGTCGTCATTCTCGGGGTCTTTGGAGGCGTCTGAGTCGGGGTAAGTTGGATCAAAATCCATTCCCTCCACGATGGGGCCGGTATCCTCATCGGTGTCCAGTGGCGCGTCGGTGTTCGGTAGCATGTCGGTGTCCGGTAGAGCGCCGATGTCCGGTCGCGCATCGGCGTCGTCGTCGGTGTCCCCCGTATGTAGCCCCGCTTCTGCTGCGTCTTGCACCTCTTTGAAAGGAGGGGTCCTTCCCCTCCCTGTCTTGGCGGCCTTCAATACGCGCGACAGATGGTTGTACCACGCGAGCTCGCATTCGATTTGGTCGACGTAGGCTTCTGTCCGTTCATTCAGGAGAACCGAGACGCCTAAGGCCACACGCCGTTTTTCTTCAAGGACGTCGAATTTGGCTTGATCGGTGGTGGCATCGGTGTGGATGTTGTGATCAGCGGGGTAGACAGAAGCAATCGACTTGATAGCGACCAGCTCCGATTCGACGGTCGTCATCTGTTCGCTGATAGTGTCGATGTAACGGTCCTTGTCCTTTACCGCCTGACCGTAGGCTTTGGCGAGCCTGTAAATGTATCTCTTCCACTCAGTAGCGGCGTCGAGGATCTCCTTGCAGGTGTGGGGGTGATTCTCGGTATCGACGATCCAGAACCACAGGGGGTGGTTCAATGGGTTCACCTCGGCCATCCCACAGATCGTACCTTTGGGCGAATGCTGGAGGAGAGAATACAAAGGCCACGGATACTGTTTCGCCAGCTCTTTGTTGACTCGCCCTTGGTAGTAGCGGTGGATCATGACTGGAGGGGGTGGAGGCGCATCAGGTGGAGGTGGAGGGGTGGATGCACATAACGACCTGGGGGGGGAAGGAGGGGCGGAACTGTGGAGCGCCACTAGAGGCGACGGAGGCGGTGTGGGACTGCCCGAGGACCCAGTGGGTGCAGGCGGAGTGGAGCCGCGAGGCGCCTCGAGAGGAGGATGTGGAGCGGGGCTCGAATCGACAGAGGGAGATGAAGGGGAGGCTTGCAGGTTGGCTTGCCGAGGGTTGCCGTCAACGTCCAGAGTAGGGTGCTTGTTTCGACGCACGTTGACGGACCAAAGAACAATCATGGTCATGGCAGTTGCACCCGAATCCATGAAATTGTTTGCACGTGGCCCGAATTCCTGAACGAAGGCCTGGCGTACATGTGGCTGCACGGCGAACTTGACTGCAGCGTCGGTCTCTTCCCGAGGGATGTTGTTCCCGTCACTGTCACGCAGGAGTGGTGGGGCAAACGGGTTGGAGTCGTTGGCCGCAGCGCTCTCACCCGGCTTTTGTGACGCCTGCTGTCGCCTCTTGCCCTTTTCAGCGGCGGAGGTTGAGGACTCCGGAGTCGAGGACACTGTCTGCTTCGACTTCGACTTCGACTTCGACTTCGGCTTTGGCTTTGGCTTTGGCTTCGGCTTCGGCTTCGGCTTCGACGTAGCGCCATCATCCTTCTTGGCCTTGGACTTGCCGCGCGACTTCGCGGCTGTCTTCTTTGGTGGCTCAGCGTCAGAGGCCTCGGCATCTTCCAAGTCCTCCTCCTCCTCAAACTCGCGTTCTTCGGAGCCCGCCTCCTCCAGCTCTTGTGCTGCATCGAGAGCTTCGGCCATTCGCTCACCTGCAAACCTAGGTCAGCTCACAACCAGGCAGCACCGCTAACCGCTTCTACTCACGCAACTCTGGGTCTGCCTTAAAGAAGGCATCGTGCATGTCCTGCTTACCCACAGAGATCTGGTTGAGGATGACGTCGATGCTGTTCTGTGCGACGAGGCGGTAGACGATAGCCCAGTCCTTTTGCATGTATCGCGCCACACGTCCGATCAGCTGGTGGTCGTCCAGCGCAGACCACAGCGGGTCCTGTCAGGCGAGATTGAATCAACAACACAGAGGCATGTAAGGGGCGGAACGGACGTACCATGACGATCAAGATTCGAGCGAACCACAAGTTCAGCCCCGTCGCACCGACCTTGGAAATAATAAGAACGTTGCAGTCATCCGACTCTGCAAACCGTTTGAGATGGGCGGAGCGGAGCTTTGACGACTCGGAGCCGGTGTAGATCGCATAGGGGATCTCGTGTTCATCCAAGGCGCGCTCCAGGATCCATAGGTGGATTGGGTAGTTCATGAAGACCACCACCTTGTCACGGCGGAGGTGCGGGTTGCTTATGATAACTTCGTCGGGCCGTATAGCCGACTCGTCGACGATGAGGCTGTTCGTCTGCTCGTCATCAGGGTCGAGCTTGGCCGGCCAGCGGCCACGTGACTGGAAATGGTAGTGAAGGAGGGCGATGAGAAGGGGGGGGGGTGGGGGGATGGTATGAATGGCGAGAGGTCGATAGATAGGCATGGATCTTTGAACTCTCATGTGCCGTGGTGGTGGGGGCCGTGGGGGGCGGCGCTCGGGCGGGGGGGGGGGGGGGGGGGGGGGGGGGGGGGGGGGGGGGGGGGGGGGGGGGGGGGGGGGGGGGGTGGGGCGTCTTGAACTCTCATTGCCGTGGTAGGGCGCCGTCTTGGCGAGCTGTCGCTCAATGCTCAAGCCAGAATGGAACGCGAGAATCCGCGATTGGTAGTAGAAGTCGTCCTGTGCAGGATGGAATCAGCTCGAGGCACCAGAGATAAACAACGTAGTGATTGCTGTGTGATAGCACTTCTCGAAGGCCAACATTGTGCACACAGGGCTCCCCCGCGCCGTGCGATGTGTCACACGCCGCATCACGTGCTCCACCCGACCTGCCTGCAGAACACAGAGGAATAACCACTCACCCAAGTAGCGCGGGACTCCTTCGACTTCACCTTCAGGCTCTTGGACTGCATGTTGGCCATAAGTTTGTCAACGAGCTCTGCCTCGTGGGTACGCAGATTGAACACGAGCTGCGCTTCGTGGAACTGCGGGACGACAACGATCGGGTTCCCCTGCAGATCTTTTGTCTTCGCGGTGCGGTGAATGACGTGCCCGCTGAGAAGGTTCCGCAGAGCCGCGATCCACTCGCGGCTGACGGATTGGAGCTCTGTCTCCTCTTCCTCATCGAGTTCGTCGTCATCGTCCGCATCGTCTGCCTGCTCAAGGTCGATAGACATCCGGTCTTCGGATCCGTCCTCCGAATCTTCATCCTCCGAACCATCAGTGTGCCGATCTGGAGTCTTGCCCTTGTCGTCGTTACCGTTGGCATTGTTCCCCGATTTTTCGACCAAGGCCCCCTTCTCCGCTCGCGCCGCTCGTTGCTCGCGCAGTTTGTTCTGCCGCACGAGGAAGTTCTTCGCCTCCACAAGCCGAGCACCGGTAGACCCGCCTCCTTTGCGCAACGCCTTCTTGTACTGAAGGCGGTAATCCTCAAGAAGGTCCTGGCCCTTGATGAACTGCTCCATACCGAACATATAGCCGAGCGAGGTGATGTCCTACATCGATGCAGTAGTCAGCACAGAGCCAAGGAATCACATATAGGCACGCTCACCGACGGGTCTGTGACAATAGGCGTCGCCGACATACCCACACGGATTTCGGTCTGCATGAAGAGCGCACGCAGGGACTGCGACATGCGCCCGGTCTTGCGGAACTCGTGCACCTCGTCAACTAAGACGCCTGCGAACCTGAGGCCCTCGCCAAACAGCGTGTTTCGCTGAGGCTCCGTCCATGGCTTGAGAACTGCGGTCGGGTTGGACCAGTCTGTGCTTCGGAATACCTCTGCACCGTCCTTGACGAGGGCCTGTCAATGATGTTAGCCGAGTAGACCTGAATTCGTGAAAGTATGAGCTCACATGCGAGGACATCACCACGATGACCAAAGTGTCTTTCGCTTCAGCGGCGCGGGTGATAGCAGTCATAGTCGTATTTCGAGCAGTGGCGTCGTAGTTACCAACGTAAGGAAAAACTTGCATGAGGCCTCGGATCATGGTGCGCTGGATCTCAGCCATCCACTGATCGACGAGAGGGTTGGGGACGACCACAACGAAGATGCTGCTTCCAAGCGGGTTGAGAGTGAACTTCTTCTCTCCTAAAGCGGAGGCGGAGGTGTGCAGCACCGTCAGAAGGAGCCACATTGCGTTGCATAGCAGAGCGCACTCACCAAACATCCCAGGCCACTTCCCATACTTGAGGCGGTGTCGGTTCGCATGATGAAGGTATCCCATGAACCCTATCGCTGTTGGCGTTTTACCAGTGCCAACGTCGTCCAGAAGCAGCATCGGGCGGCCCTGCAAGACGTTGTGAAGCATGGTGGCGCAGCCGACGTACTGATGCCAAAGAAAATTGAACTTCTCGACGTTCCCTGCCTGAACCGCATCCTCCCAGTCTTGACCCATCTCCATGATCACTTGCCGTCGCTTGTCCACCTTCGTTACCATATACGGCATGCCGCCCATACCCTTCATCGGCGCCGATTGCCCCTTGATGTTGTAGGTGATGTTATCCGCAGTCGACTCGGTCCATCCGATCGCCTTCCGGATCGCCTCCGTTGTCTGATTTTCGAACATCTGGGTGCCTGACTCCCAATCCATGAAGTCCGTAGCAGAGACGACCGCGCAGATAGAATCCGCCTCGACCTCTTCCGAAAAGAGCGAGTCCATGATGTCGCACAAGGACTTCCGCTCAATAGCAGTGGGCAGCCTGCGGATGGCATCGGCGAGTGGCGATTTTGGCTCTGCGAGAGAAAAGTAAGTCTACTGTTTCGCACAGAGACCTCGTACTTAATGGATACGCACTGACTACACCCTCGAGATAGGTGCCAAGTACGTCGTGCGCGAGTGAAGTTTGCGCGGCCTGCACCATCTCTTCAAGAGCCGCTCGACGCCTTCCAAAGTCGCCAGAACTGAAAACGGAGAGCGCATTCTGCATAGAGTGGATCGCCTGGATGTACTCCTCCATCTGGAAGGCGGAGAGCGTGCCGGATAAGTGGAGTGCTGCATTCGTGATGGTTAGTACAATTGTGCATATCGGAGAATACAAACTGACTTTTATCAAACTTTTCTACTTTTTCGCTCACGACAATAACCAATTTCTTCCTCGCACGCAAATTCTGTTGCCACTTGTCCCACACGAGCCGAGTTAGACCGCTCACGAAGTTCTGGTAGGCGGGTTTCAGGAAACGACGGCCAACGACTTTGGCGTGGTTGCCGAAGAGCTGTTCCGCGAGAATGTCTTTGGCCTGGATCACGAGGCCGTCGTTGATATCGACAAGCTGAGATTCACTGTGGATTAGCGTGTGTCAAAAGAGATATTATGGTGCTCACCTCGTCGCCCAAGACCGCGGTTGACAGTGTGATATCATTTGATTCGAGTGCGGACTCTGTCAGATCGCGCAGGCGCCAGTTTTTGTTCCAACGCGAAAACAGGTACTCGGTGAGGTCGGTGAAGTCAAGTTCGTCGTCTGTCTTTTCGACACGCGGTGGAACAGTTCCTCTCTTCTTTGCAACTTTCACCACAGTGCGGATGCCGGCCAGTGCTTCTTCCGTGATGCCGAGTTCAGCCGCGGTCATGTGGGGAGACCACGGCGCGTGCGGAAGCCCGGTAACACGACGAAACTGCTCGGAATGCCATGGACAGTCATTCGCGTCAAATTTCCAGGCTTCAATGGCCAGTTTGACGAGCAGAGGAGCGTGTCGGTATGAGGGCATGGGGAAAGAGGTTGGGAAATTGCGGGAGGGATCAGCTGAAGGGAGGCGGCACCAGCAAACTTATACATCAGCGCCTTGTGCAAGCATGCACTAGTCGGGAGGCCACGCAGCTAGCACGGAACGTGTATATATTCATCCGGGTACCCGTCATGTCAGGAACGGTGCTAGTACTGATATTTGACGCAGCGACCCTTGCGCCGCGCTCGCTCTGTCACTGCGACTTCGCATAGCCTCCGGGACAATAAGAACAGCGGATCTTAACGTTCAAAATGACGAAATCACCAGCAAGCCGCTCGCGGAAGGTGACATCCGGTGATGTTTGGACATACTTCCCTGGTGGAATTTCCTGATTGATCTAACCATTTAAGGGGCTCTGCGGCGCGGGATTTCGAGATAGATAAGACCAGGCCTAACCGAGAGCCTGTGCGCAAAAGCGGCTCGATCTAGCGCCGCGCACCAACGTCAGCGTCAATAAGAGCAGCGCTGGCGTCGGTCGTGGGAGCATCACAATCTCCGTAAAATGCTTCATTTGCTGAAAGAACACCGTCTCCATGAGGAGGTTCGACTCCACGTTCAGCGTCTCGCACCCCGTAAACACAATATCCCACAATAATGACCTCCTAGCCACAGGGACAAATACACAGAACTTCCAAGGTTTTGCACCCAGGGAAGGTTAGATTGCTTTTTAAAAGTTCAAAAGTTTTGTCGACCCTCGGGATGAGTCTGGGATGCTTTATTGTCCTAAGCACTACGGAAAGTGTGGAAGAGTTCCCTCACTTCAGACACATCATGGCTTGGGTGATGCTGACCATTAATCACTACCCATGTCTAACGTGTTGTACGAGGCAGAGGCCAATGTGAGCCATGGAGTTTATGTATCCATTACTGAGACATCACGGTACAGATCACATTCTGTAGTCAAGATCAGTTCTGCACATGTAACTTCAATCTGGCCATTGTCACTGCCCCTTAGGAGAGTGCTGCGCCCATGGCATAGGTTCATAAGGTTGGTATCACCCCCGGCAGCGTAGCCACGGTCCTGGACCGCACTCTGCGCGCGAGACACACTCATCACGTGTTGACATCCCCCGCGGCAGCGCAGCCGCGGTCCAGGACCGGCTCTGCGCGCGAGACACACTCATCACATATTGACATCCCCCGCGCAGCGCAGCCGCGGTCCTGGACCGCACTCTGCGCGCGAGACACACTCATCACGTGTTGACATCCCCCGCGGCAGCGCAGCCGCGGTCCTGGACCGCACTCTGCGCGCGAGACAGACTCATCACGTGTTGACATCCCCCGCCGCGGCGCCACTGCGGTCCAGGACCGCACTCCGCACTCTGCGCGCGAGACACACTCATCACGTGTTGACATCCCCCGCGGCAGCGCAGCCGCGGTCCTGGACCGCTCTGCCGCGAGACAACTCATCACGTGTTGACATCCCCCGCGGCGCACGCGGTCCGGACCGCTCTGCCGCGAGACAACTCATCACGTGTTGACATCCCCCGCGCGCGCCGCGGTCCTGGACCGCCTCTGCGCGCGAGACACACTCATCACGTGTTGACATCCCCCCGCAGCGCAGCCGCGGTCCTGGACCGCACTCTGCGCGCGAGACAGACTCATCACGTGTTGACATCCCCCCCAGCAGCGCAGCCGCGGTCCTGGACCGCTCTGCCGCGAGACAACTCATCACGTGTTGACATCCCCCCGCGCGCCCGCGGTCCTGGACCGCACTCTGCGCGCGAGACACACTCATCACGTGTTGACATCCCCCCCAGCAGCGCAGCCGCGGTCCTGGACCGCACTCTGCGCGCGAGACAGACTCATCACGTGTTGACATCCCCCCAGCAGCGCAGCCGCGGTCCTGGACCGGGCTCTGCACGCGAGACACACTCATCACGTGTTGACATCCCCCGCCGCGGCGCCACTGCGGTCCTGGACCGCACTCTGCGCGCGAGACACACTCATCACGTGTTGACATCCCCCCAGCAGCGCAGCCGCGGTCCTGGACCGCACTCTGCGCGCGAGACAGACTCATCACGTGTTGACATCCCCCCCAGCAGCGCAGCCGCGGTCCTGGACCGCACTCTGCGCGCGAGACAGACTCATCACGTGTTGACATCCCCCCAGCAGCGCAGCCGCGGTCCTGGACCGGGCTCTGCACGCGAGACACACTCATCACGTGTTGACATCCCCCGCCGCGGCGCCACTGCGGTCCAGGACCGCACTCCGCACTCTGCGCGCGAGACACACTCATCACGTGTTGACATCCCCCGCGGCAGCGCAGCCGCGGTCCTGGACCGCACTCTGCTCGCGAGACAGACTCATCACGTGTTGACATCCCCCCCAGCAGCGCAGCCGCGGTCCTGGACCGCACTCTGCTCGCGAGACACACTCATCACGTGTTGACATCCCCCGCCGCGGCGCCACTGCGGTCCTGGACTGCACTCTGCTCGCGAGACACACTCATCACGTGTTGACATCCCCCGCCGCGGCGCCACTGCGGTCCAGGACCGCACTCCGCACTCTGCGCGCGAGACACACTCATCACGTGTTGACATCCCCCGCGGCAGCGCAGCCGCGGTCCTGGACCGCACTCTGCTCGCGAGACAGACTCATCACGTGTTGACATCCCCCGCCGCGGCGCCACTGCGGTCCAGGACCGCACTCTGCGCGCGAGACACACTCATCACGTGTTGACATCCCCCCCAGCAGCGCAGCCGCGGTCCTGGACCGCACTCTGCTCGCGAGACACACTCATCACGTGTTGACATCCCCCGCGGCCGCGCAGCCGCGGTCCTGGACCGGGCTCTGTGCGCGAGACAGACTCATCACGTGTTGACATCCCCCGCCGCGGCGCCAGTGCGGTCCAGGACCGCACTCTCCGTGCGAGACACACTCATCATGTGCGCTCTAGCCTGCCTCACCTCCTGTGTGCAGGGGAAATCGGGGCCGTGTTAGCCCTACTGTAAGGAATCGACGGGAGCATTTGTTCACATAGCTTATTAGCAGGGTGCCGATGCATCGGTTGCCCCCACCTGCTTGGTTTCTATTTGTGGTCGCACCGCTTCCCCAGGTGTGCGCCATTCATGGGCGCGACGTCCCCAGCCTCTTAATTGTTTCCATTATGCTTTACTAATATATTATTAGAGACCAAGATATATTGATAACATGCTACTACAAGACAAAGCGAAAGCAGGCGAGAGGGAGGGTGAGGCAGAGGACGAGGGCGATGCGGGTGCAGGGGAGGACGATGCGGAGGAGGGGAGCGACGCGGGCGACACGGAGGGCGGGTGGAGGTGTGCGGCGTGGAGGCAGGCGGCGCAAGCGGAGCAGGCGGGCGGAGAGCAGTGTGGAGGCGGGCGATGCACACAGGTGGGCGACGCAGAGGTAAGGGATGTGGAGGCCGGCGTGTAGGCACAGGAGGGTGTTCGGGCGAATGTGGGCAGCGGAGGGGCGGGCGACGCACGCGACGTGGATGCGGGCCGCGCGAAACCGGGTGTGTGGGCGGACAAGGTCGGGCGGGCGGAGGAGGGTAGCGCGGAGACTGGCACGGGCATGCGGGCGGAGGTAGGCATGCGGGGTGGAGGGCGTGCGACGTGGATGCGGGCTACACGCAGGCAGGTAGCGTGAAGGTGGGTGATGCAGGCGGGGGGCAGCGTGAAGGGAGGTGGGTGATGCAGGCGGGGGGCAGCGTGAAGGGAGGTGAGCGACGCAGAAGCGGAAGCGGAGGTGAGCGATGTAGAGGGCCAGCAGGAGGAGGCTGAGGGCCTGGACGAGGCGGAGGAGGAGGTGGGCGAAGCGGAGGCCCGCAACGCAGGTGGAGGCGGGCGACGTGTGGGAGGGCCGCGACGTGGGTGTGGGTGGGCGATACGGAGGTGGAGGAGGGCGACGTGGAGGGCCGCGGCAACGTGGAGGATGAGGAGGGCGACGTGGAGGGCTAGAACGTGGCGAAGGTGAGCAGAGGTGGGCGATGTGGAGGGCGTCCAGGCGGACGTCCTCCCCATCTTGGAACTGTTGACAGGGTCGGGCGGGTGAAGCAGGAGGGGAGCGGCAGTGGAAGACTCACCAAATCAGAGGCCGTGGTACATCGCCGCAGCCCTCTAATTCTAATCTCCATGCTGAGGAAGTTCAGGTGGATCCTCTGGAGGTGTGGATGCAGCCGGCAGGGTGGGCGGAGGACAACATGGAGGTCGAGGTCGAAAGAGGAGGGGGAGGGGAGTTGAACGATGTCACCAGGAGGCTGAAGGCGGCGAGGATGGCGGAAAGGAAAGACGGTGAGAGCAACTCACAACCACACGTGTTGCCGCCCACAGAGGCGCGTCTCCGCTGGCGTGTATCACGGATCACGGGATGCATACGCACGCGCAACTGCTCCGTTAGCTCACCGCGACCCCATAGAACGGCCGAGTGCGCGAGAGCGATAACGCCGCGTCGACAGAGGGCACGATGTGGGTGATGCATAGTGGGCGATACAGACGAGGGTGATGATGTGGATGAGGGAGACACGGAGAGCAGGGACGCGGCGGAGGAGGCGGGGGGCAGGGACGCAGCGGAAGCGGGGAAAGTCAACGCGGCCAGAGGGCGACGCGATGCGGAGCTTGGCGGCGAGGCGGAGGATGAGGGCGACACGGAGGACGAGGGCAAGGTGGGCAAGGACGCAGGGAGCAGAGGGGAGGACTCACCAGGGGAGATCAGAGCCGCGGGCGACTTGGGGGCAAGGGCGTGGTGGGCGACGCAGGTGACGTGGGTGACCCTTCGCCTTCGCCCACCTCATTCCAGCCCTGGCCCTGGCCCTCCGCCTCCTCCCGCGAGCCCTCCGCGTCACCCTCCTGTGCCTCCACGTTGCCCGCATTCGCGTCGCCCATATCTGTGTTGCCCGCGTCCGCGTCGCCCTCAGCCGCCCCATTGCAGTGCTCCGTCTCGCCCGCCCGTGTCACCAGTGACCTCAACCGCGTCCACGTTGCCCGCCGTGTCCGTCTGCGTCGCCCACATCTCGCCGCGTCGCCCACATCACCCCGCTTAGTCCCCGTCTCAACGTCCTTGTCGCCCGCGTCGCCACTTCGCCCGCGTCTCCAGTTCGCCCGCATCGCGTGACACGTCCGCGTTTTGCCCCACATTGCCCATGTCTCCTGCGTCTCGCTTTGCGTGGCCTTGTTTCACAGATCACCCTCTCGCCTTATCTCCCATGTCGACTGCATGGCCCCCGTTGGCGGCCTTGCCATGGACGTTACTTTGTTCCCGGTGTACTAGATAGATCACATTAGACAGCAATATATCTCATTTTCCGCGCACTTCTATCTCGTTGTGAACCATTGATAGCTTAGTGATATTAAGCTTTTCATTTGCAACAAGAGGGCTAAGAGCACTCTAATGAGAGACATGTTAGTGCAAAGAAGATCCATTTTCCACAAGAATACTTATTCGCACAAGAATAGATCTACTGGAGAGCAAATTAGGCAAATTAGATCTAACTAGCAAGTGGGGGTTTTCCTGATGGACTGTATAGTCGCTATCGTCTGCCTGGACTGTGGTGGGGCGGAGCAGGAGGAGGAAGAGGAGGCGGGGAGGGACGCGTGACGTGCATCACGGCCACGCGTCCTACCGAGGCGCATCTCCACGGGCGCGCATGCATCCGCACCCTGCCGATACGCTGACGGATGCTCCCGGCGATTACTTAGCAGCTGCTCGAGGAGCAGCACCGGCACGCTCATGAGCTTTCCCTCCAGCTTTATAACGCGCGTGGGCACCCGAACATTCACGTATGTAATCCACTGCGAAAACTAGTTCTCACCCGTGGCGTTGCCATGGCGCGTGCGGGCCTTTGGCCCTCGAGATGCGACGTTGGGCAGATATTTGAGAATTTTACAAATAATGCTTATAGTGATACTGCAAAAACTGGAGTGTGTGCTGCAACTTAGGGGCCTGCGTAGCTTTTCTCGATATGCTCTCGCGTGTGTTGGTGGTGTGGAGTTGAAGGATCCGCTGAAGGCGAGGGAGGTAGTTACCCCGTCTTTATAGTATATAGTCAGTCCCGCAGGGCATGTGCCCATTGAACACCCCGTTCAGTTACGCTTTAACGCATGCGCACACGTCCCGGGGTGGTGAGCTGAAGGCGAGGAGTACACTGTAGCACCGGTGTGTGTGTGCCCTCGCGCGAGAAGGGAAATGTCGCGCGGGGTCGGTCTCGTATAGCTGGCCAATGCCCATAGGCCTTTTTCGCGGAGGAGCGCGGCCACAGGGGCTACCGCCCTCGCGCACCGCCACGCGATGTGTAGCGCGAGCCCCGCGCGCGAGTGGCGATATCTCTGCGTGCACCACAGAATACCCGTGTGCATTTTTCTCGTGCGCGAGGGCTCGCGTCTAGACTTCTGTTAGGACTTGAGCGTGGGCATACCCTCGCTCTGGGGGCAGAGGCCATTACAATGCGTTTATCCAGTGTTTCTCCACCTTTAGAGGCTCGTGCGCGGGGAGTCTGCAGTGCATGTAGAGATATACCCCCGCGCGCGCGGTGCTCGCGCTGTATGTACTTCGTGCGCCGGGTGATGCGCGCGCGAGGACGCTACGCACTGTGACCCGCTCCAAAGCTCGACGTTGAACGTTTGAACCTGGCCCCACTCACGCTCCTGCACGACAGTCGATATTAGGGTAAAGTCGGCCAGAAAAATGGCCAGTCACATCGCCCCGCGCATCGACCTCGTAAACTCGGCCGAAAGACCCCGACCTGAGGCGGCCGCCGGCCTCGCAGGCTCGGCCACACAAAGCACGACGGGCAACGGCCCAGCTTCGGAGCCCGAAAACGCGTAGAAAATGCCTGTCAAAGGTGTCATTTTCGGCAGGTATTTTTCCAGGGGAGAAAAAGGGCAGGAAAGGCGAACTTTTATGTCAAGTTTGTGTGTGTCGTAGAGTATCCTGAAAGGTGACGTTTTGGGCGAATTTTTCGGCCCGACAGACAATAGAATTCATAGTAAAGGCAATAGAGCGTGTATAGTATGCGAGTAACAAACAAGTTAGTACGAGTGATAAGTAACGCGCATTATTGAAATGGGCACCAAAGGTCTCTTTATCGATCCTTTTCGGCACCCCGTAAAGCACCCGGAAAAATTGCCCATTTTAGTGCCTTTTTCACACGCGCACAAAAGGCGGCAGAAAAGACACCTTTGACAGGCATTTTCTACTCGTTTTCGGGCTCCGAAGCTCGGCCGTTGCCCGTCGTGAAGGCGCCAGCCTCGTGCGCAAGCTCGGCCGGCCGGCGCACGTGGAAGCCACATGGCAAAACCTCGGTTAGAGTCTCGCTAACACGACGGGCAACGGCCCAGCTTCGGAGCCCGAAAACGCGTAGAAAAAGCCTGTCAAAGGTGTCATTTTCGGCAGGTATTTTTCCAGGGGAGAAAAAGGGTGGGAAAGGCGAACTTTTATGTCAAGTTTGTGTGTGTCGTAGAGTATCCTGAAAGGTGACGTTTTGGGTGAATTCTTCGGCCCGACAGAATACTGTGCTCAGAACAAAGACAATAGAATTCATATTAAAGGGCAATAGAACGTGTATAGTATGTGAGTAACAAACAAGTAAGTACGAGTGATAAGTAACGCGTGTTATTGAAATGGGCACCAAAGGTCTCTTTACCGATCCTTTTCGGCACCCCGTAAAGCACCCCGGAGAAATTGCCCATTTTAGTGCCTTTTTCACACGTGCACAAAAGGCGGCAGAAAAGACACCTTTGACAGGCTTTTTCTACGCGTTTTCGGGCTCCGAAGCTGGGCCGTTGCCCGTCGTGTATTGTAGTTGGCACTATGTACCTTGTAGCACGATGAATATATATTTGTTTGCTCCTCCTATACACATGTGTGATCTATTGAGTGCAATGTATGAACATATTAGGCACTAATTGAGTGCTTCTTGAGATCTACCTTAGAGCTAATTGAGAGCTCTTGAAGATCTAATTTGCAGCTATTTGCAGCTAGTTAGACGTGATAGCGATGGTCAACTCTAGTTCGCAATAATTAGACTATTTGTGCTATTAAGCACTAAGTAGAGAAAATTTTCTCTAACTAGCAAGTAGGGGTTTTCCTGATGTCGTCCTTCGTATACTATTGGACTCCGGTGTCACCTGGTGACACCGTTCAACTACCCTCCCTCGACTCCGACCTCGACCTCGACCTCGATCTCACCCATCTGCCCGGCTGCGCTCACAACATCTGCACTGCATGAGGACGTCCTCAGGATGCATATTGGAATCTGGGGGCCGTGGCGATGTACCGCGGCCCTTGCTTTGGTGAGTCCCCTACTCCAACCTTCTGCACTCCCATCCACCTTGCTTCGCCCATCCGGCCTGCCGCCGACCTCGACCTCCCCGTCCGCCTCGTCCACCTCGTCACTGCGCTCGCCTACGCGCTACTCTCCGCCCGCCTTCGCGCTACCCACCCGCGCCTGCACGCCTGTCTGCGCCCGCACACTCTTCTCCGTCTCCCTAACCTCCATGTCGCCCTCCGCGCGCGTCACCCACCTCCGCGTCACCCTGCTCCACATCACCCGTCCGTGCCGCCCTCCCCGTCGCCCGCATCTACGCGCGTCGCTGTCCCCATCCTCCGCCTTCGCGGCGTCCACACGCATCGCCTGCCTCTGCGCGCGTCGCCCTCCGCGTCTCTCGTATCCTCCCTCTCCCCCGCCTCCGCGTCATCCACTTCCGCGCTACCCACTGCATCGGTCCCTCGCTCGCCTCCTCCTCGCCCTTCTCCATGTTACCCGCCTCCGCCAAGCCGCGCCCCTCCGCGAGCCTCACCCTCATCGCTCTGCGCTGCTCGCCCTGTGCCGCCCGTCCATGCCGCACGCTCCACTTGCCACCTCCTTCGTGCCGCCCGCCCGCGCGTTGCCTGCCTCTGTGCTGCCCTCCTCCGCGTCCTCGTCGTCCGCCTCCGTGTCGCCTCCCCATCTCGTCCACTTCCTCCTCGGCCTCGTCCCGGCCCTGCGTCTCCTCCCACGAGCCCTCCTCCACCTCCGTGTTGCCCGCCTCCACACCGCCCTCTGCCTCCTTCCACCTGTCCCCTCCTGTAGTAGTGTACAATAAACATATTTTCATGCATAATAATGCACTAGCACACACTGCAAGTTAGAGCCTTGATAGCCTTTGTCACCCCCTTTCCATTGCGCTCGCCGATGTCTTGCCCGCCTCACTTGTTCGCTTGTTGTGTTCTGCGTAAGAGCGTGCACGGCCAGCGTACTCTTCTCCTCTTTCTGGTGCTCGATCTCGCCTTTCCTTCCTCTCCCTTTCGCGATTGACACGTCTACCCCCTCCATGCCACACAGCCCCGCCCCATCCACTTCATCGGCCTTTCTTAGCAGCTTACAACACCCAGTTTGAAAACACATTGTTACTCACTCACTCAACATAGGGTTTGAGAAAGCCTCCAGTAAGCCTTTGGGTGTGAAAAAGGGCATTCTTAGTACACCAAATGTTAGTGTGAGTGAGAATAGATTGATATGGCTTATTGAATGTGTAATGGGATCTCAGAAAAGAAAAGCTAAACTGATGAACTCTGAGTAAGGCAGGGACTGACTGTAGCACATACGAAGAAGAGTGATCCTTAGTTAGTGATAGAATGACTATATTGAGGGCATAAGTACCTGTAGCACACACGAAGAGGAGCTACTACAGATAGAGTAAGCATGTGGTAAGGAGTGCATAAGAGTGTAGGTACTTACTCCTCAGTCAGTGATAGAACGACTGAAGAGCAGTGCGAGCCAGAGTCCTTCTTATATCTGGTTCAGGAGCTGCATACGTAAGCGAATGATGGAGGACATGTGTGGCGCAGAGGTCAGACCGGACAGAAGATGGATACGATGCTGTACGGGCTGTTGGCTCAAGACAAAGAGAGTCCGAAAATAGAACAAGGGAACAAAGAGAGAAGTGTAGAAGAACGAGATAAGGGACTACAAGACAGTGAATAGACATGTGGAACTATGGGAACTATCTCACAATGTCCATGTGTACGTAGAACTGTCCTAATGTACCTATGTTCGATATCCAATGTTCAACACAAACAGTAACAACAGACCTGTAGTAAGGATTATTGAAAGGGTACCAACTGGATAGGAAGTGAGAGTGAAAGCTTATGAACTTGCTATGGATTCAACATTCTTTTAGGCTTTAGGCATGAGTTCTGCACATTCCTCAATGAACAATTAGTAGTCTAGTAGCTCTAGGTTAGATTGGCAGGAGTTGGTGCACCAGAGATATAAGTGGTGGGAGGTGGTGCGATAGAGTGACAATCATAAGAGTGCACTAAAGCTTGTAAACAGACAGGTGGAGCAGGTGTTAATGTGCCCCTGTATAAGAATGGAAGTCCTTCTGTGTAGGTCACATGCACTCCCACTTTCAAACAGAGGGAGTGCAGCACGGTGTGTGTGCATTTTGTGCAAGTGCATGCGGATGTGTGGATGTGTGCGCATATGTGCAGAAGAAGTAGTTTGCCTCGAAGCCATGAGCATACAATGCCAGATGGGTGCAAGCCTCATGAGAGGAACAATGAGATTGAGCAATGATCTGATGTGGGCATAGGAACGGGAAACTCCGGACATCAAATACAAGTCACATGAGCACTTAGGTGCCCTGGTGCGATTTAGAGTTTGCCTGGAAGCACGGAGCACACAATGTCACATGTGTACAAACAAATGGAGCAACACAACAACAAACAGAGAACACAATGATCGGAAGGCGATGAATGCACGCTTAACTGCGGACATCATGTGGCAGCCACGCGATATGACATCATGCCGTGGTGTCCGCATTGGACACTTGATGTATGCGAGATTAGGTTAGGTTAGGAGCGATGAGGCGGCATGTGGGCAGAGCATAGGTTACCAAGAGAGGGGGCTCACCACTAAGTGCTCGAACGTGCGGACATCTGCACTCGTGCTGTAAAGGACCTTAAGAGGTGAACTTATCACTCCATATCGCACAAAAAGACTAGATATCATTAGCAGTACTGATACAAGTGATGAGGCCAACTAAGTGACTACATGAAGTAACCAAATCAGCCAACAAAGACTAACTAACTAACACCTACGGGTCCACGTTATCGTGAATCCAGTGGCTCAGGCTGTCTAGAGTAGAGACGTGCACCACACCCGTGGCGCCGACCTCATGGGCGCCGAGCAATTGGCGAAGGCGGTCGAGCACAGACACGACAAGAAATGCCGGATATTCGGTGCCCGAGTAGGACCTGGGACACGGTACTGCCATGGTACCTGTCACGGTCACGTTCTTTGTCTTACCGGACAGAATCCTGTTGGGGGCATGGTCTGCACCCGCGCAAGGTGGTGTGAGGCAGCCTGGTTTGAAGCAGACCAGGGTGTGGGCAGGATTCATGGCCTTAGCCTGGTCGGCCACAGAGCTGGTTTCGTGTTCAGACTCTTGCCACCATGTACTGGTGTACCAATCTTGTCGTGAGAGGTGGGCGTAAGACTCGTGGCGCTGGGCTCGTCCGAGGCACCCACGTCGGAACGCGCATGCTGGAGGGACAGCAGGAGCGCTGAGTCCTCTGGGGCGGGCTGATCGGGGACGTCGGTAACGACACCGCGGTGCATCGCGGACAGCCTGTGGGTCTTGCGGGGGGCGCGTGGCGCCGGCGCCGCCGTTGTTGTCGTGCTTGCGCTTGCGTGGAGAGGTGGTCGCGGCGGTGGAGCCGGTCGCGGCGGTCGTGGTCACAGTCGCGGTGGAGGAGCGGGTGGGCGTGGGCGTGGGCGTGGAAGAAAACGCGGACTTGCGAGCACGAGTGGGGGTGTGCAAGACTTTGACGCCTTTTCGAATGGTGCGGTACGACTTACGATCCTCGCGGATGCGGAGGAACCATTCATGTTGTTCGTGTGGGCGGGGCATCGCAACCCACCATATCTTTTTGGAACCGAGCATCGTCTTGTATTCTTCGTCGGGGCCGGCGTAAAAGACGACGGCGACGGCCAGCGTGCGTGCATGCTTGCGGTCCCACTTCGCGTATGCGGAGTAGGAACGGATGTGGGGGAAGGGCGACGAGAGGAGGCTCTTGCAGCCGGGCGCGATCTCGAAGTCTTCTTCCGCTAGTCATGTGAGGATGTAGTCGATCGCGCCCTGGGCGACGATCTCGGTGGTCTTGGGGAGGTCCGCGATGACGCGGAACCCGACATCCAGGAAGCACCCGACGAAGCCGACATGCGGCACTGCCGAATGTGTCGCGCTCAGCCGGTGGGGTGGGGGAAGCGCGGGAGAGGACTTACGAATGAGCGCACAGTCGCCGCGGATGCCGTAGGTGGTGCAGGAGTTCCCCGCGGACGTGCGCGTGCATTGTCTGCACGCGCCGATGCCGTTGCCCGAGCATCCACTGATCTTGCTGTCGAGACAGTTATCGCACTGTAGAGACTGAGCAGCGAAGGGACATGGGAGCGACGGACTTACCTTGGACTGCAAAGTCCAACGAATGCGCCCGCAGGGAGGCGTCGGGTGGTTGCTCTTCTCCACCGTCGTAATGCCTACAGAGACGTTCATGGGGAGACGTCGAGCGGGCAAGAGCACGGAGTGGGGAGTTCGGGGGAGGTTGAGGTCGCGGAGGAAGCCATCGTGTGTGGATAGCAGAGAAGAAGGAGGTGGGAACGGGATCGGGGCGGATAGTCGAGGGCGGTGATAGTGGTGGTTGTGAGGAAAGAGCGAGGCGAGGCAAGGCGAAACGGAATGGGAAGCTGGACGGGGAGCGCTGAGCGCTGAGTGCGTTTAAACACTTGGGTCACGGGGTCACAGGGTCACGGGGTCGTGGTGGCTTCTGAACTCGTGCCGGAATGTGCCTACGTAAGAAGGTTTAATGATCGGTCCCATTCACGACGGGCAACGGCCCAGCTTCGGAGCCCGAAAAGGCGTAGAAAAAGCCTGTCAAAGGTGTCTTTTCTGCAGCCTTTTGTGCATGTGTGAAAAAGGCACTAAAATGGGCAATTTCTCCGTGTGATTTACGGGGTGCCGAAAAGGATCGATAAAGAGACCTTTGGTGCACGTTTCAATAACACGCGTTACTTATCACTCGTACTAACTTGTTTGTTACTCACATACTATACACGTTCTATTGCCCTTTAATGTGAATTCTACTGTCTTTGCTCTGAGCACAGTATTCTGTCGGGCCGAAGAATTCACCCAAAACGTCACCTTTCAGGATACTCTACGACACACCAAACTTGACATAAAATTTCGCCTTTCCCACCCTTTTTCTCCCCTGGAAAAATACCTGCCGAAAATGACACCTTTGACAGGCTTTTTGTACGCGTTTTTGGGCTCCGAAGCTGGGCCGTTGCCCGTCGTGGTAGAGACGCGCCTCTGTGGGCGGCAAGGACGCGTGGCGCGCATCGTCGCGTGGCTGTGACCCTTTCGCCGTCCTTCCTCTCCTCCGCCTCCTCCTCGCTCTGCCCAGGCAGACGATAGCGGCCATACGGTCGAGACTCGACTGTCGTCTTCTATTGGACTACAGTGTCACTTTGTGACACTACTCTAACTTCCCCTCCTGCCCTCCACCTCAACTTCCATGCCGTCCTTCACCCACCTTGCCGGCCACCCTCACAATGTCAAGAGCGCACAAGGACGTCCATCCGGACGTCCTCAGCGTGGAGATTAGAATATAGGGGCCGGGGATATGTACTGCGGCCCTAGTTTCGGTGAGTCCGTTCGGGCCTCCTCCCCAGGCTTCCTGCCTCACCCATCCGACCTACCGCCCTGCCTTCACACCCGCCTCCTCCGCCCCCGCATCGCCGCGTCGCCCGCCTTCGCCTTGCTGTGTCGCCCACCTCCGCCCACCTCACCGTCCGCGCTCCTCCGCGCCCGCCCCGCGTCCTCTTCGCCCTCCTCCTTCGCGCCCGCCTTCGCCTCGCCGCGTTGCCCTACTCCGCACCCGCCTCCTCGCCCGTCTCCGCCCGCGTCGCTCTCACTCGCCCGCGTCGCCCGCCTCCCCCACACCGCGCTCCGTCCTCCGCGCCGCGCCCCTCCGCGTTGTCCTCCTCCGCGTTGTCCTCCTCCGCGTTGTCCTCCTCTGCGTCGCCCGCCTCCACCTGTGTCGCCCTCCGCCTCTTCCAGGTCTTCCGCGCGGTCTCCGCCGCGTCGCAGTTGTGCGTCGCGCACAACCACCTCCGCCTCCTCCCGGTCCCCCGCCACCTCCTGCGAGCCCTCGACGTCGCCCTACCCTGCCTCCGCGTCCGCCAGAGTTGCCCTCCTCCTCCTCTTCGTCCTCCGCCTCCGCGTTGCCCACTCCCTTCGCTTCGCCCGCCTCCGCGTCGTCCGCTTCCCTGCGCGTCTCGCGCTGCCCGCCGCCTGCATCGCCCGCCTCCGCCCGCCTCGCCCTCCCCGCGTCGACACTTACGATTGCGGTGTGAAATATTGATGGAGGTGAGCTCAATGCCACAGACAGCGGCGTCCAGTCATCTCGGGGCAGCGTCGGGCATGTGATGGACGGCTGGTGCGTCTCCTCCAACGATCGCGTGGCAGCTACAACCAAGGTCCATGACTCCGTTGACACATAGTGGCGTACGGGTCTACGCTCCTAGTCTCCGACGCAACATCCTCGGTGTTCTAGTGTGGCTGGCGAAGCTCACACTTCAGCCTCAGGAAGATCATGCCTTCTGTCTTGGTACATTGAAGTCGATACTATTGTTTGGGTGCCGCACAGAGCGTAAGTGCGCGAAGTCAGTTGTTCAAGTGAGTTGAGGAAGAAAAAACAAGATTGTAATTTCAGAACTACGTGACATATCGAGCAACAACGTATACAAGTACATCAAAAAAAACGCGCCCACTTTCATGCGCGGCATGGGTGCGCGCGTGGGGATACTGATGCGGGAGCAGGGAGGGAGCGCGCGTGGGGACGCACAGCGATGAGGGGGCGGGGAGACGGGCGCGGGGACAAGGAGACGGGCGTGGGGGGAGGGACGGCAGTAGGATTTTTAGAAATCCGATGAAGGCCCATCATGGGCTGAATAAGTAGAGTGCTAATGGCGAATTAGAAGCCGCCAATTGCAGCGCGTCTCGATTGGGCGTCTATCTGATCTTCGGCGCGTGCCCCAAAAGGACACGTTAAAAATGCCACGCATGGTGGGACTCGAACTCCGAGACTCGTCCGAACCGTGCCGCGGACCACTACGCCACGGGTGCTTGTACCTCAGCCCTAGATATATATTTATGAGGCACAATCTTCTGGAATGTCGACACTAAGTCCCGCCCCCTGGGCCGCTTTTCGAAAAACCAGCAGCGTGCCTTGTCCCCTTCCTTTTCTAATACCACACTGGTCACACCCCGCGCGAAGGTGGCGTGTTTCGCCAGGCGGCAAGTGATAGCGGCACGAGTCTAGATGCGAAGGGCGCGCGTGGCAGGAGTACGGGACACCGTGCCCCCCGAAGGGCGCGCGCGCGAAGTGGTCCGGGCAAACGCGCGCGTGAAGGGCGCGCGCACGCGTAGCGCGACAGAGGTGGTTGGCCCTCATGCGCGCGCGGGCATGCTCGCGTGCGTGGAGCAATGAAGCGCGGGATGGACGCACAGCACGCAGGAGCTGGAGGGGTGCGGGTTTTCGAAAAGAAGCGGGCGCTGCCGCACCTTTCGAAAAGGACGGGAGAGGCTCAGGCGCCGGGGTGCTTTCCGAAAATGCTGCCGCCCGTCTGGGAAGGCAATGAAAGCAGCCGATATAATAACGCTTCTAACAGAGCATAACAACTGAAAGTAGCCCAGCGGTCTACGCTGGGCTGATCTTTATGCGTGAACTTCCGAGAGGTGCCCTGGTTCGACTCCGAGGGCAGGAACCCCCCCAGACGCCTGCGGTGTGCACCACGCCTACCCGATTTGGTAATAGCACTCTGCCAAAAGATCCCATGAAGGATGATCATGGGATTTCTAATACGTACACTGCTACGTACGCGTGGGGGACGCGCGGGGACGAGCGGGCGGGGAAGATGCGGGGACGGGGGAGCGCAGCGACGAGGGGGGGACGGGAGTGGGAAGACGGACACATGCGCGCGGACGAGCGGGACGAGCGGGCGAGGAAGATGTGCGCGCGGAGATACCGAGACGTACGGAGGGACGCTGACGCGGGCGCAGAGACGAGGGCTTACAAAGGTGTACCTACTCCTGACTCATGTCACCCTCGTCGTCGTGGTTTCGCGCATTGTTGGCCTAAGTGTCCATGTGGTCGCCTTCTTCGGAGGACGTCGGCGTGTCGGTGAGGGACGTGCCGGGCGCGTTCTTGTCCGCCCACTTAGCCAGCTTCTCCACCTCGGTGGCAAGGCCTGAGGCGTGGGACGCCAGAAGGTAAGTGATCCCCTCGAACCCCATCCAGCGGACAGCGTCTTCTATGCGTGCGGAATGGGACGGGCGTGTGGACGTAGACACGCGCGCAGAGGTGGACGGGAGAGCGGAAGAGACGAGTGCGGACCTGGACGCGCGGGTCGACGGGCGCACAGATGCGGGCGCACGCGCGGAGGTCATGGAGGTCGACTTGGGCCGGCGTTTATCGTGCGTCGTACGGTGCGGGACCGAGCGGGAAGATGTGGTGCGTGACATGCGCCCACTTGCGACGGGGGGAGTGCGAACGGCGGTGGCAGGGACAGTGGGTGCGGGAGGAGGAGCGGCCGTGGCGGGAGGAGAGGCGGGAGGCGCGGCGGGAGGGATGGGGTCCAAGCAATAACTACGCCAAGACATGCCTGGCAGTATGATCAACCAGTTGTGGTCGTATTTCACGTGGGGCAGCTTGATCCAGTCTTCCTGGAGGCTCCCGAGGACCAACGGCCGCAGATCTTCGCGGGCCTTTTGCCTAAGGTCGCGGAACACGACGGCGGCGGCGAGGTCGCGCGCGTCCCGTCGGTCCCACTTTTCGTACACCGTGTAAGAGGGGATGTTGGGAAAATGGCAGTTGAAGAGTGCTTCGACCTCGGGGATGACGGTGAAGTCGAGCTCCCTGAGCCAGGTGAGAGTGTAGTCGGCGGCGCCCTGGGCGACGGCATCCAAGATGGGCGGGAGGTCAGCGCGAATGCGGATCGTTGGATGCGCGAACCATCCCACAAATCCCGCGTTCGGAACTGCCGTAGCAAGTGTGGTGAGGGAGGGTAGACGGGGAGAAGAGGAGAAAAGGGGCACACCGATGAACGCGCCGTCATGGCGGAGGCCCCATAACGTGCAATCGCGGTCGCAGTCGCGGCACTGGAGGCAAGGGCCCCCCATGTCCTGGGTCTTGCGGCAAGTGACGTTGTCGTCCTTGATGCAGGCGTCGCACTGATAGACGTGAGCACGGTGCGAGGATAGCAAATGATGGGGTTTACCTCGCGGTCTGAGACCCAGATCGGGTCTCCACAGGGTGGGGGTGGCAGTACTTCGATCTCTTCATCGACGAAGGTGTCGGGCACAGCGATGGGCATGAGGAAGAAAATAGAGAGGAGGATGAGTCGGTGAAGGAACTTGGGGGCGGGGTCCTGCACAGAGGAGGGCGATAGATAGCGCGAGATAGCAATCGCGGGGGAAGCGATGTACAAACATAACCACACGCGCGCAAGCAAAGCGATACATAGCATGAGATCGGTCCACGATCGGAAGGCTGTGAAAACCCAGGAGGTCACGCGAGATTCGATTACAGCTAAATCCATAACGCTAGGCGTGTTTCAAAAAAAGTCAGCATAGCACATTCGGGCGGAGACTGAGGCTGGGGGTCGACATCAGCCGTAACCAAGCGGCGACGTTGAGTGAGGGAGATGGGCGTGCGTGAGGAGGGCGCGTCGCGACCCAATTCTGATATCGGCCCCCCTCGACACGTCCAAATTCAGTCTCCGCTTAGACGGGCCGTGCTGAACTTTTTCTGGAACACGCCTAGCGTTATGGATTTAGCTGTAATGCGCGGGCCCCGCGCTGTCAGATTCCCTAGGTGGCCGCCCACGCGATGAACAACGGTGAACGGGCGGACGCCCGCGCGTCGAACAATACTGTAATGTGATGTGGACGTCCGAAGCTTCAATGCTAATGCTACAGTATCAATATTCTTCAGGCGGATGTCCGCACGTCGAAGGAACATGTCTGATGCGTGGTTATGGATATCCGCGCGGACGTCCGCGCGCGCATTTGTTGGGTGTGGCGCGGTTCTTAAGACGAGTGGTTCAACGCGCGGGCGACCGCGCGTTCTTATTCAACAACAGCATTTAAAAGTACAGCAAGAAATACGCCAACCACCATGCGTGGCGTGTATGGGCCCGACCGGGACGAATGCAGGGATGGGGACAAGTAGCGATGAAGGGGCGCAGAGCAGGCGAGGGGACAAGGGGATGGGCATGGGGCGGGGACGAGCGACGACGAGCGGAGCGTGGAAGATGCGGGGCAGGGGCGCGCAGAAACAATGGGGGACCGGAGCGGGGAAACGGACAAGGGCGCGGGAACGAGCGGGACGAGCGCGGCGGGACGACGACAGACATAGACGGAAGGACGGACTTGTCCATGGGTGCAGACCTACTACTCATCCATATACTCGTCGTCGCCATTGTTGTCTTCATCGACGGGCGTGTTGTTCACTTCGTCGCTTTCTTCGGACGACGTCGGCGTGTCGACGCGGGTCGAGGGGGGCGCGTTCTCTTCCGCCCACTTAGCCAGTCTCGACGCGGTGGTGGCGAGGCCTGAGGCGTGGAACGCCAGCATGTTCGTGATCCCCCGCAACTGCGTCCAGCGGACGGCGTCGTCGGCAGCGTGGACGTAGCGGGCGGAGGCGGCAAGCTCCTCCATGTTGAGGCCTGGCAGGAAAGACAGGTCGGGGAGGGCAGGGTGGGTGTATTCACAATCATCGGCGGACCTGGACGAGCGAGCGGACTTCCTGGAATGGGAGTCGACGCGGTCGTCGCGGTCGTCGCGGTCGTCGAGTTTGCGCTTGCCCCTACGAGATGGAGGTGCGAGGGACGCGGGGCCCAAGGAGGAGGTGGAGGCACACGCGGAGGTGGATGCGCGCGCGGACGTCGAGGCGCGTGCGGACGTCGAGGCGCGTGCGGACGCGCGTGTGGACGTGGACATGCGCCCACTCACGACGGGGGGAGGGCGAGCGGTGGCGGCAGCAACAGCGGGTGCGGGAGTGGGAGCGGCCGCGGCGGGAGGAGCGGCGGGAGGCGCGGCCACGGCAGGAGGCGCGGCGGGAGGTGCGGCCATGGCGGCAGCGGCAGCAAGTGCGGCAGGGGGTGGGATATTACTCAGGCGTACTCTACGATAGGAATCCCCCAGTAGAGCCGTCCAGTTGTGATCTTCACGAGTGAATGGCCCCTTGATCCATTCGTCACGTGTGCTGTCGAAGACCAAGGGTTCCTTAGAAGTCACCCCGCGGAAAACGACGTCGGCGGCGAGCCTGCGCGCGGACACGCGGTCCCACTTTTCGTGCACCCTGTAAGAGGGGATGTTCGGGAACGGGGAGTTGAAGAGTGTGGAGGCCTCCAATACACGGGTGTAATCCTGGTCCCTGAACCAGGTGAGGACGAAGTCGGCTGCGCCCTGGGCGACGATGTCCGTGGTGTCCGGGAGGCCAGAGCGGATTTGGATGGTGTCGCTCTGGAACCAGCCGACAAACCCCACGTTGGGGACTGCCGAGCGAGTGCAGTAAGGAATGGGGAAGACGCGCCGCGAGAAGAACTGCGAACTCACCGATGAACGCGCCATCGATGCGTAAGCCCCAAATCATGCAGTCCCGGTGGATGCAGAGGCGACAATGGTCCGGGATGGCGGAGTCACGGCACTGGCCCTTTTTGCTCTTCACACATTGGTCGCACTAAGAGATGTAAGACCGGCGCGAGGATAGACGATGAAGAGTCTTACCTCGCGGTCAAGGGTCCAGATCGGCTCTCCGCAGGGCGGGGGCGGCAGCACTTCCACGAGATCGGTGTAGAAGTGGATGGGAACGAGGGCGGGCGCGTGGAAGTTTGCGGACATGTTTCACGAGATATTGAGAGGGCAAGGGTGATTGTGAGTGGGAGGAGTGCAGGGGTTGGAGGCGAAGGACGGTGATGGATATCGCGAGATAGCAATCGCGGTGCGCGAGAGGCAAACATAACCACACGCGTGCAAGCAAAAGGGCACAATGAGCGAGATCGGGCCACGATCGGAAGGCTGTGAATACATGGCTTCTCCCGAATACCGGGAGGCCATGCGAGATTCGGTCAATCCTGGGCCCCAGGCATTCGTTCAGCTTCCCGCGACGGGTGTGTATGTTTATACGAGCGCACCCCGGCGCTATGAACAGGACGTATGGGCATGGTTAGGTGCGCGGACGCAGGCCACATGCCGTCGGGCTGCCCTATTCCATGTCATATGTGTGCCGAGTGTAAAGCAAATATATGTGCAAAGCGTAAGAATAAATAATATACTATTGTGCTAGGGTGACGTCAGAAAGTAACACGTGGGTGATGCGGGGGCGAGACGGGGGTGACGCTAACGATGCGGACGAGGTGGATACGCGGGCGTGCGGGGTAGGTGAGGGTGAGGGCGAGACGGGCGAGGGGCGGGCTAGAGCGAGACGAGCAAGAGCGAGACTGTGGGTGACGCGGCAGTATCACAATGGCGAGATAGGTGAGGGTGACGTGCGTACGCCGGTCGGAGGGGCCAGCGCACACGACGAGCGCAGGGAGCGGTGGGACGCGCTCGAACTTGATGAGCATGGGCGCGCGCGGGGGAAATTTCATTGGAAAGGCGACAATGCGGAGTCAGCGGCGCGTAGGGGCGAGCGCGAGGGCCCTTGGGGTCGGTGGGGAGAAGGCAGGTCACTCAGCGCGCGGTCAAGGGGCGTGATCCCGTCGAGGTGGATACGGCGGAAGGCCTCGAGCGAGCGTGGCTTGCAGAGGTCGTGTTGCGAGGGCCGCACGAGATATGAATGTTCCGCGATCGCACTTGCGTGGGAGGCCTCCTCGGCGGAGCGTGGGCGGCGTCCGGTCGTTTTTCTTAGAGGGAGAGGGAGAGGGATGTAACGCGGGGAGAGATCTGGCGCACGACGGAACTCACGCAGGGGAGACTCGTGGGGGTGTGTTCCTGTACTAGACACCGAAAAGATCTCTCCTGCTCGAGGATGCGCCCATGGGTGGGGACAGGATGAAGTCGAGGGTATCGATGGAGAGGCGTGGTTGTCCTGGATGAGCACGGAGGGGGTTTCTTCTCCATCGGGTAACTTGCAGTGTAGCAGGGAGCGGATTGTGAGCGGGAATGACTTTCGATGCAAAGGGCGGAGGAGAAGGCCTGAGAGTGGACTCACCAAGGCAAAGGGAGGCCACAAGACTCTGGAAAACGGATTCGCATCCAAGGAGGTAGGCAACATGGCAATAACTACGGCGCGCCGCGGCGCGCGCGATCGATCGCACAGCATGTTTGTTTGGATGTGCTCGTGGCGGGGAGCACTTCACAGACGTGGTTCGGGCTCTGGTAGGGGTGGGCAAGGCAAGAACACGAGAGGGGCGGAAAGGACTCACGAGAGGGGAGCGGGCCTGTGGTAGATCGCCGCGGATCCAAGATTCTAATCTCCGTGCCGATAACGTCCGGGTGGATGCTCTCAGCGTGTTGAGTTTGTTCCCGTGGCTGCCGGGAAGGTGGGTGATAAGGAGGATGGGGAGGAGGAGGGCAATGGTGCATAGCAGTGTGGAGATTGCGGGTGTGGGCGAGATAGGCGGTGCACGCAGAGAACAGCGGGCAACTTGCGCGAGGGTGCGAATGAGGGTGAGGGTTGATGCGGCGTCGTGGGCGAGTTCGAGGTCGGTGGTGCGGGAGAGGGCGAGGATGAAGACGTGAGGCTGTGGGTGGCGCGGCGACGGGAGCAACCTAAGCGCGCACAACCTGGTAGCGAGCACAGGTGATTTCCCTGGTGCATCCGTTGCGATAGCCTATCGGCAGCTACGGATAGGACCCCCGACATCTCACCCAGATGCCTGATCCCAATTTTCGCAAAAGTGCCGAAAATGTCCTGGGGGATCAGGCATCCTGGTGACCCTGTTTTGGTCGGACGGCTACAGGCCTCGGCCGTCCGGAGCCTGATTTGGTCGGATTTTCGGAACAGGCCTCCGGAGGGCCTCAAAATGTCCGGATTCCGCTCGAACAGGCCTCCGGAAGGCGAATTTTCGTCCAGGAAACGTCGGGGAATCTCAGAAGCGTAGAAGAGACATTGAAGACTCGTAGGAACTTGTAAATACAGTAGATCGTTGACGAGAACATTTGGGGACATAGACTCGAGGTGACCGTAGTCTAAGCGCCCTTGTGCTCCGCCCAGTGCGTCCATGCGTTTCTCCCCTCCCCTGATTCCTCTACGTTGGCCCTTCACCGGTCACCCCTGCTCTCGCCAACGTTCGCCCTCGCCGCGCTCGTGACTGCGCTACATGTACGCCTGCAACATGCCAATATCTGTGGACGACTAACGTCGCGCTGAGCCGCTCCGCGCGAGAGTGCGTCGCGAGCGCGAGCGTCAGCAGCGTGCGCAGCGGCAGGTACATAGTGATTGTACGCGCGCCCGGAGCGCGTGCTCGAAATCTGCTGGACCGACGACCTGATGGACAGCTGGATGCCGTGGGGACTGCGGAAGGCCTCAAGCGGGGAGGGTGAAGAGGCTGGTGAGGGAGTTGGATTGGCATTGGGACTTGGGGGGGAGGTCTTCGCCCGTCGTCGATGGCCCCGAGGGTGAGCACATCATCACTTTGAATGCACAGGTCTCCATGGGTACCCGATAGTCCACCATGCGGGTGAGCGAGTTGGGAGAGCAAGTCCCGCACCTGTACCGAGAGAGGGCAAGAGACCATTGCCCGCCAGCCTGCCTCCTACTCTTCTCCATTTACCCGCACTTCCTGGGTCCTCGGCCAACTTTTGAACCACCTCCCACGCCCTCTCATCCTCGTTCTCACCCGGAGTGGAACAAACGAACTCTGTGGCATGCAGACTGCACCTGGCACGCGGTCAAGCTGCCAATGGCGCCTGGTACGTCGATCCCTGGAAGTAAGCCGTCTCAAAGGCATATGCTGGCTCCAGTGAGGTTGGGTTTCAGCTTGCTGTATTTACTTGCAGGTAGTAGAATATCATTATAAACAGTTCAGTCAATGCAGTGCTTTTGGTGTACGCACGGCGGCTCACATATGTAAGGCAGGCAGGAGAGACGCTCGAAGATCCGTAGCCCACTCTGGCTGACCTTCAGGCCGGGTTGAGGATCAGGCCTCCGGGAGCCTCCACACTGATGGTCGGATGATGGCTCAGGCATAGGCCGGCTGAAATCCGAGAAGATGTCCGACAAGGCCTAAGCGCCTACAGGCATTGAGCCCGCGAAATCGCCATCAATGTCCGGATTCGGCTCACACGACGGGCAACGGCCTAGCTTCGGAGCTCGAAAACGCGTAGAAAAAGACTGTGAGAGATGACATTTCCAAGGGGACAAAAACGGAGGCTTAGGTGACCTTTTCTTGATGTAACTAAGAACAAAGACAATAGAACGTGCATAGTATGCGAGTAACAAAGAAGTAATTACAAGTGATAACCTGTGTTATTGTCGAACAAGGTGGAGAAAAGGTCACCTTAGCTCCTGTTTTTGTGCCCTTGGAAATGTCATCTCTCACAGTCTTTTTCTACGCATTTTCGAGCTCCGAAGCTAGACTGTTGCCCGTCGTGTCAGGCATTTGGGTGAGATGTCGGGGGTCCTCTACGGATGCATCTGGACGGATCTGGCGATCCGTGATGCGCGCCCGTGGAGACGCGCCTCGGTGGGCGGCAAGGACGCGTGGCGCGCATCGACGCGTGGCTGTGATGCACGCCACACGTCCCTCCCGCCGTCCTTGCTCTCCTCCCCGCCTCCTCTTCCTCCTCCTGCTCCGCCTCCACCGTCCAGGCAGACGATAGCGACTATACAGTCGTCCTTCGTCTGCTATTGGACTCCGGTGTCACCTGGTGACACCGTTCAACTCCCCTCCTCCTCCTCCTCCTCCTCCCTCCTCCTCAACCTCGACCTCCATGCCGTCCTTCTCCCACCTTGCCGGCCGCATCCGCACCGCACGAGGACGTCCATCCGGACGTTCTCAGCATGGAGATTAGAATTAGGGGGCCGCGGCGATGTACCGCGGCCCTTGTTTTGGTGAGTCCCCCGCTCCACCCTCCTGCATTCCCAACGCCCACCTCTCCTCTCCGGCTTCGTACATCCGGCCTGCCGCCGGCCTTGACCTCGATCTCCGCATCCGCCTGGCCCACCTCGCCGCTGCCCTCCTCCCCGTTGCCCACCTCCGCGCTGTTCTCTGCCCGCCTTCGCGCCGCCCGTCTGCACACCTCAGGTGCCTGCGCCCGCACACCCTCCTCCGCCTCCCTCACCCGCGGCCCACCTCCTCCACGCGCGTCGGCCACCTCCGCGTCATCACCCACCTCCATGTCGCCCGCGTCCGCGTACCTGCCGCCCGCATCCGCGCGCGTCGCTAGGCTCCCCCACGCCTCTGCGTCCGCCCTCCTCCGTGTCCTCCTCCTCCGCGTTGCCCACCTCCTCCGGCCCGTCCGCCCCCGCGTCGTCCACCCCGGCGCGCGCCGCCCACCTCATCGCCCGCCTCTGCCCGCCTCACTCGCCTCCTCGCACTCTTCCGCCCACTCTGACCTCCTCTGCCTCCGCCTCCTCCCGCGAGCCCTCCGCGTCACCCTCCTCCGCCCACCTCCTCCGCCCACGCGGCCCTCCTCAGTGTCGTCCCAGCCCACGTCATGTCCTCCACCGACGTTACCTCCCCCACCCACGTCGTCCTTCCGCTCGCATCGCCCGCCCTCGCTGCTCTGCGCCTCCTCCCCCTTCGCATTGCCCGCGTTGCCCACCACCTGCTCCGCCTCGTCTTGGCCCTTCACCTCCCCCCGCGAGCCCTCCGCGTCGCCTCGCTTGCCTTTGCGTCGCCCGCCTCCGCGTCTCCCGCGTTCACGTCGCCCATGTCGCCCTCCTCCTCCTCTGCGTTGTCCCCGCCTCTACGTCTGCCTCCGCGTTGTCGCGGGGCGTGGTATTACTTACTAGTGCACCTATGTAGTAGTTTACTAATAAATATATTTCTATCACTAATCATATAAAAGATGTGGTGTGAAACAAATAGGGAGGCGAGCTCACTGTCGGAGACAGCGAGCTCAGGTGGCAGCGCCTGAGGCGCCGGTGTCCGGACATCTCGGGACAGTGTCGCACCCGGGGGTGCGCGAGCGCGCTTGGGGAAGGCGGTGTCGAGCGCGACCGGGCCGGCCGGCACCAGATGCATCCGCACCTGCTGATAGGCTGTCACAACCACGACGGGCAACGGCTCAGCTTCGGAGCCTTCCGGCAGGTATTTTTCCAGGGGAGAAAAAGGATGGGAAAGGCGAATTTTTATGTCAAGTTTGTGTGTGTCGTAGAGTATCCTGAAAGGTGACGTTTTGGGCGAATGTTTTGGCACGACAGAATACTGTGCTCAGAACAAAGACAATAGAATTCATTGTAAAGGCAATAGAACGTGTATAGTATGTGAGTAACAAACAAGTGAGTACGAATGATAGGTAACGCGCGTTATTGGAATGGGTACCAAAGGTCTCTTTATCGATCGTTTTCGGAACCCCGTAAATCACACGGAGAAATTGCCCATTTTAGTGCCGTTTTCACACGCGCACAAAAGGCTGCAGAAAAGACACCTTTGACAGGCTTTTTCTACGCATTTTCGGGCTCCGAAGCTGGGCCGTTGCCCGTCGTGAACAGATGCACCTGGCGAATCATCACTGTAGTGGTAGCGCACTGTGGGCGACAAAAAATCACGCGCAATACAACAGGAAGGAGCGAGGAGGAGACCACGAACGAGGGCTGCAGCGCAGGGAGAGTGGCGCGGGCGATTCTAGCAAGAATTCGCGGTGAGATGTGCGATACGGTGATGTGATGCCAACTCGGGTAAGAGTCGACAAGGGCCGAGGTCGAGTCCGTGTAGGCGTGAGACGCGGGACGTTGGGCGAGTGAACGAACACCAGGGGATAGAACGTCCGAGGGTGTCGCGGAGGAGGAAGGGGACGGAATGTGCGAACGCGGAGGAGAAGAGAGGAAGAGAAGCAGAGAGACGCTAGACGCGGACGGGGGGCGCGGACGGGCGCTACGAAGCCGATGAACGATGGGCGACGGGCGAGGGCGATAGTCGATAGGCGGCGTGTACGATGAAGATGAATGATGAAGACGATATGAGACGATACGAGGTCGAGTAGAGGCGAAGTCGAGGAGTGAGCACACAACACACGCACAGAAATGCGCGGGAAATGAACTGAATAGAAACCAGTGCGAGTCGAGTCTAAATACATGCAAATGCCAAGCAAATGCGGCCGGCGCGAGGGCGTGACTACGACCAAAATAAGCACCCGAAACGTATCTACAAATCTGGGTGTCATGGCAAGTGTCCGGAAAATAAGAGAAACGAGTGGCGGAGCGGGGCAACGAGCGTGGCTGACCGTGGAGGCTGCGGAACGAGGGATACGAGAGGACGAAAAGGAGAAGAAAAAAGTGTGAATAGGTAGCTAAACATGAAGCCGGAACGATCGAGGGGGTCGGTGTGGCGTTCCGTAAGGACGAGGGACGAGGATGTGCCACGCGCGAGGGCGCGGAGCTCGCGCGGGCGCCGTCTGACGGACGCGCGCACGTACCAGCGGCGGTGGATGCACATCAACGGCAGCAACGACGCTGCGACACGACCATGCCGGTGGAATGGCAACTGCCTCGTGCACGTCTTTTGACACATGCTCATTGTGGGCATAGGGTTGGTGGTGCGGCCGGGGCCTGGGGAGGCGGTGGGCGAGGCGCAGACCGTAGAGGATGAAGCGGGGGACTCACCAGAGTAGTGACGCAAGCGAGACGGGCGAGACGGGTGACGCGGACGGGGCGAAATGTGAGCGAACACAGGCGACGTGGGGGTGAACTCGGGCGACATGGGGGCAAGACGGAGGTGAAGTGGGCGACGCAAACGAAGTGGAATCGAGGCAAGGTGTGCGATGCAGGCGCGAGGCGTGCGATGTGGTTGAGGGCGAGGGCGATGTGGGTGAGGGGGAAACGGGCAAGATCGTGGTGGGTGAGGCGAGGCGGGCGAGGCAGGTGACGTGGGCAAGGGGCGATACGGGCTAGGTGGGGGATGCGGGAGGTGCCGGCGCGAGGGGGGAGACGTGGGCGGCGCGGAAGATGCCAGCGACGTGGGCGAACGAGGGTGACGTGGTGACATGGGTGCGAGATGTGGGCGAGATGGGCGAGACGGCAGGTTCTTTTGCGTCGTGCCCATCGCGCCGAGGGTGCCGTCCTGGTGGACGAAGACAGATTATACCTGTCCGAGCGCGAGTGTGGAGAGCGCGTGCGTCGGCACCGAGACCCGCGTCGGGCGGGCGAGAGAACGGTGCGGGCGCATCGAGTGGGCGCCGTCGGTGCGCATCGCGCGGACGTGGGCGATGATGTGGTGCAGGTCCGTTGGGAGGAAGAGGACTTGGAGGCGTCTTTGTGGTCTAAGTCGGAGAGGAGTCGGAGAGGGACATTGTACGTCCGGAGCGCGGATGGGGTTGACAAGGTCGCGTCTGCGCCTCCGACGCCTAGTGCACTGGGGCTGTCCGTGTCCATAGAGGACAGCGGTGTTGGCATATGCGCGCGAGAGGACGACGTAGGATGTCTCCCAGCTAGCTGCGATACCGTGTATCCTTCTGTCTCCTTCCAAAAGTCCGCCGAGTCGTCCACGCGTTTCAGGCTTCTCCACAGTCCCAAAAATAATGAGGGGTGGCGAGGCCGCGACGAGAGCACATCGTGGAGGCCATGCGAGGGGATCTTGAGACCAGGAGGGAGAAGGTGGTGGCAGTCGAGGCGAAGGGAGCACAAGAGCGAGGTGAGTAACGGCGAGGCGGGTGACGGCGTGACGGGCGAGGCGGGAAATGCGGGAAAGGCGGCGAGGTGGGCGAGACACGGGCGAGGTAAGCAACGTGGGCGAGGTGATCGGAAGGAGGAGAGGGAGGAAAAGGCGCCGGCGGGGATGGCAGCGCGAGAAGATATGGAACAGACCGCGGATGCATCCGCACCTGCCGACGGGCTACTGCTGTTCCGAGTGCCCGCAGTGAAAGCTGTGCCTGCTTCGTGTTTTGATGAGTAGCCTTCAGATTCAATCCCTTGCACGACTGAACACCAAAAAAGCCAATCAATAGCGGGAAAAAGAAACACACGGCTTGCCATGTAAGTAAACTGGGTACACATGAACCTCGCGCCGGGACGCACACCGGAACTCAACGCGAGCAACCGCGACTGCGCGCGCCCACCCTACACGTCGCCTACGACCCCTACTTCTTGGTGTTCTTCGGCACGTGGGTGGCCATGAAGTCAGCAAGGTGGCTGAAATCGGCTGCGATGTTACTGACGAACCCATGGGCCTCAATCCACGCGGCCCCGTCGCCCTCGGCGTGGACGCGCCGGAGTGTGGCCGTAAACCTATCCGCGTCGAAGACAGGGATGGCGGGAACCTCAGGGAGCGGGTCCGGCACCGATCCGGACGTCCGCGTGGCCTTCCTGGGGATTGATTCGTCCTCGGATTCGGAGCGTGCAGCCTGGTTCCGCTTTCGCGGCTTCGAGGGCCCAGCAGCGGAGGCGCTCTGCGTGGTAGGCCTCCGCGAGCGGGAAGTGCCACCCTTCCCGGCGGTCGTGCGCGACTTGTCCTTGCCGGAGGTTGAGCGCGACTTGCCCTTCTTGGGAGTGGATGTGGTTGGGGCGGGAGGCGCGGCGGGAGCGGAAGGGGGAAACTTGCGCAGACCACGGTACGTGAGAACCCAGACGTCCTTGCCCACCCATGCTCCTTGTCGGGCTTGGGCAATGCTAGCCACCATTCGCGCTTGCTGCCGAAGACTTTCGCACCTTCTTGTGGCCGCCTGCGGAACACGACCTGGGTGGCGAACTTGCGGGCGCCCTGTCGATCCCACTTCGTGTACGCCGTGTACGATTGCAGATGTGGGAACGGCCGGTCGACGGCCGGGTTGTGTCCTGGTGCGGGGTAGAGCTCATCTTGCGTGAGCCAGGTGAGCGCGAGGTCGGCCACGCCCTGCGCGACGATTTGTGTATGCACAGGGAGGTCGGCGATGATCTCGAGTCGGTTTTTCTCGAGCCATCCTACGAAGCCGACCTCCGGTACTGAACAAAATACTGAATCAGGGATTACGGGAGGAGGGGGGCCAGACTTACCGATGAACGCGCCGTCGGCGCGGAAACCGTAAACCGTGCACTGCTTGCCACGCCTTCCAACCTCGCACGCGGTGCAGCTCCCGGGGTTCTGTCCCTCCGTGCACGGTTTCTTCCGGGCTTGCTTGCATATGTCACACTGCGATCAGTTAGCGGGGAGCTAGTGAGGCGAGGCATGAGACTTACATCGCCCATAACAACCCAGAGATTGGGGCCGGGGGGCGGCGCCGGTAGGAACTTCTCGGTATATTCGAGCTCTTCGGGAACTGGCAGGGGCGCCGGAGGAAGGAGCGGCGGCGGGATACCGGGAGCCGGCGGAGCCGGCGCTTGCGGGGCTGAGGACATGGCGGGGGCGTGTGGGGACGCGTAGAGGCGAGGGATAGCGAGGGGAAAGCGTGGTAGCAGTCGAGAGCAGAGAGTGGCGAGGGAGGCGCCAGACAAGGTTGTCGTGTAAACAAAGCAAGGTGCGGCGGCCAAACAAAGCGAGGCGCGGCGCGGCGCGAGCGACGGCTCTGACTGCCGGCGCTACCTTCGCCTACGCGGATGCACTGATGCCCCGTGGGTCGGGGGAGGGAGAGGTATCATTTTTGCCCACTGGATGAACACGCGCCGTGGCTGCACACCGCACGAGTCGGCCTTCGACACAAAATCTAACCTAGCGCTGGCGACTTTGAATCGCCCGCGCGACTCGAGTTTTTGCTGATCAGAGCCCCGCCCACTCCACGGAAGGGTTGAGCAGCGGGAGTGGCAGCGCGCACGCGCACTTCCCGGAGGACGCGTGGCGGCGGGGACAGGTACGGCGTGCTCAGCGCGTCCACTTGGAGGACTGGTCAATTGCCGGCGTGTGGCCGCTCTCGCGATGTGCCAGCCTGCGGGGAGAGGCGCCGGCTCTTCGCGCTCGTCTGAATGGGCTCAGACTTGGTGCCGGGCCGCTGCGCGGGCGACTTGTTATGGCCTGCCCCGCCTGTCTGGTTACGAGCTTCGGCGCACACCTGTAACGGACGCCCAGCATACGATCGCCCGCCACCCTACCTTTATATACTGTTCCCGCACCTACCGTCTCGCCACGCGATTGCCTCCTGGCTCTTCCCCATCGCCTCTCCTTCCCGTCTCCCCGCTACCGCGAGCCTCTCCGAGGTCAAGCGCGTCCTCTAATCCGATCCCGCCTTTCCGCTCGTCTCCGACTCGCCCGACCTCCACGCTCCCGCGCTCCGCGACCGTAACAAAACGCGCGCCAGAGCGCGAGGGCCATGAGCACGAGCACGGGCGCCGTGCACGATGAGCCTGATCGCGTTATCGGCGCGGAAGCGTTGGATGTTGGCGGCGGGCGAGGTGTCGCGGCGCACCTTCAGCATGAGCGACTCCAGCTGGGCGTTAGCAGTAGTGTGCGGGAGGACTCATGCACTCGCAGGCACGCTCGTGTACGCTCGAGCTCGCACTCGCCCACCTCGCGGTCCACACGCCACGTCTCCTCTACAGGCGTGGCCTCCGGGGCCTCCGGAACGCCGCCGCCGCACCCGCGCGCGCATCCATGAGCGGTCGCGGTGGAGGCACGGCCGCGCACATCTGGGCCACGCGCCGAACGCGAGCCAGCGCGCGCGAGGGCCGCGAGCGACTCCTGGGCGTTGCAGGACTGAGGGCTCGTGCACAGTCGCCTGCAGAGTCTAGATCGGGGACAGAAATGCACCACGATATGACGTCAGTGTGCACAGAGAGAATTCACAATGACAGAACGTATCATCTGCTTTTCCGTGTGCAAGCAAAGCGCCGATCACACGAGGGGCTTCGCGATCGGTGAAAGGAAAGTGGGAATACACGCCAAACAAAGGCACTACAGGAGGTTTGAATGAAGTGGAGCGCCATTAGAAGTGCCAGGAAAGCAAAAACAATACCAATCACCGATCCACCACATCTCCGTAATACGTTGTTCATGCCGCTGTATCGTCCTAGAACGATATCCATTCTATCATCTCATCCACCATCGTCGTCCTATCCGACACTCTGTCCGTTATCAGGCGTCCTTTCGCCTCTACGGCTCTCTTCGTCCACTGCTCGATGGTTCACAGCATCATCTGTCTCGTGCGCCCTCCGGCATTAGCGTCCCATCACCATCCGTCCCGTGGTCCATGTGACTTCAGCTTTGTATCACAGATGGCTTAAGTGTCCTCGTACTATCTAAGCACGCATGGATCAGGTGGCTGGGCGCAGCGCGCTCTGGCTGTTCTGTGACCGGCTTTTTGCCACGATCTCTATTCAGCTACACGCCCTCGGCCCACGTCCCTCTGCTCTCGGCTGCCACTGTGGCCCCTCCTCTGCACACATATCCGACCATGTCTTTGTACGCCGCTACACCGTTGCCCGTGTCTACCACCTTGTCCCCTGAACACGCGGTGTGGAGAGACCCCCCTCCCTGTGTTACGGTCGCGGAGCGCGGGAGCGCGGAGGTCGGGCGAGTCGGAGACGAGCGGAAAGGCGGGATCGGATTAGAGGACGCGCTTGACCTCGGAGAGGCTCGCGGTAGCGGGGAGACGGGAAGGAGAGGCGATGGGGAAGAGCCAGGAGGCAATCGCGTGGCGAGACGGTAGGTGCGGGAACAGTATATAAAGGTAGGGTGGCGGGCGATCGTATGCTGGGCGTCCGTTACAGGTGTGCGCCGAAGCTCGTAACCAGACAGGCGGGGCAGGCCATAACACGTTTGGCGCATGGTTCCGACGCGTGCGCGGGTGCGGCGGCGGAGGCACGGCGGCGGCAGCGTTCCGGAGGACCCGTCGGAGTTCACGCCCGTACATGGATTTGCGCGCGGACCGGGAGGTACCTGGGTGCGCGTTCTAGCAGCGCACGCTTTTGCGCTCGTCGCGCGACTTTCCTTCGCGGCAGTGTGCGCGTGCCATACACGATCGTGTTCAATGCGATCGTGTTCGCTCTCGGGGTGCAGGAGCACGCCAACTAAAGGTGTGTGAGGTGTGCCACTCCCCCGGTCGTCCGCGTCATTATGGCCTGTGAGGTGTTCGCAAACCCGTTCGGTGCGTCTGTTCGCGTCCCAGCAGGGCGCCGCGCGAAGCACGGCGGATCTTGTAGTACTGTACAATTCGTGGGAACGTAGTATACCTGACTATGTAAGCATACCGGTTGTGCCTCGGATGAGGGCGTACACCAGAACACTAGAAACCAACGGGTGCGAGGCGTTCTTCTGCGAGGCCGTGGGGCTTGCACTACGGGCAGTCTTCCTGAGGCGGCGATGGGAACGAGGCGATGAACGAAGAGCGAGGAACGAAGAGACGGCGCACTGTAGAGCGACGCGTCGAGGGGCGAGATGAAGAAGCGCCGGAGGGGGAGACGAGGCGGACGGACGGAAGGGGTAACAGCATGCACTCATATACCTCAGTACGCCTATATATATACCGATACCTATTAGGTGTCGGGTCAATGGGCATGTGCCAATTCCTGGGGCATACGGGTAGGCGCGCATGCGTGCACAGCGGGCGCCTAGAAAAGACTTGCGTCTGCCGAGATTAGAACCCCAGCCTAGCATAAACAAAGCGCAGCTCAGCTTTACAGCTGAGCTACGCGTCCGTACAAGGTTCCCCATATACATTGTTATGGATCCACTGCACCCACGGACATATTATCAGATCTCCCATCAGTTTGTGTTATCTCTCCCGCTTGCACCCACGTTATCTCCCACTCCCGCGTCGCGCGCTTCCGCTCCGCGCCGGCGAAGACGCGGCGGCGTGGAGCGTCCGGAGATATCGCACGACAAGAAATGCCGAATATTCGGTGCCCGAATAGGATCTAGAACATGGTACTGTCACGGTACCTGTCACGACCACGGTCTTTGTCTGGTCCGCGCCGGACCGGACAAAGAACTGGAATCCTGGTTGGAGCATGGTCGGTGTCCGCCCAGAGTGACGAAAGGAGTCGTGCTCTGCCCCCGAACGCGCAAAGAACATGGTGAGCCCACGTAAGCTGTCTGAGTCGTGGATCCAGTCTGACATGTGCGCCACTGAGAAGCCTGGTCTGTGGCAGACCAGGCCATGGGCAGGATTCATGGCCTCAGCCTCGTCGGCTGCAGACCCAGTTTCATGGGGGGGGGGGGGGGGAGCCAGGAGTCAAGCTCGTAGTCGGACAGGCGGAGCAGACTGCAATAATTCACGCCACAAGGTGTGCACATCAGTGGGTCACCCACTCTGGTGGTGGGGCACACAAGCAAGAAGACGTATGCACAGTCTCAGCGTGCATGCTGCCACATAGAATGTGGTGTGGCGAGATGACAATTTAAATCAAACGCAATTAGTACATAGTACCTCTAACTAATGACTTGAGACAGGCGGGCGCACCAGGCCTCGAAGGTAGAAAACAGCTCCAAGCCGAAGCGCCAGTTCTGAGAACCTGACCGTGACCTGGCATCGCCATCTTTTTCCATCTGGACGTCGGTGCGACATTTGTTGTCGACCCAGCGGAAGAGGTGGCCAGAAGTGAACTCTGTGAACGAGTAACGGGTCTCATCTTTGCCAATCGTGGTGTTCGAATGCTCTAAAACAGCAGATGGGACAAGCGCGAGGCACCCGGGTGGGATTTCGACGATAACTCCAAGATCCCATAGAATGAGGTGGCCGCCTCTCTTGTGGTCAAACTTGCCGAACGCATACAGCGAACACCAGCCGTAGGCGAGGTTCTGGAAGTCGCGATGACGGTACGTTATAGTTTGTCTGCCAACGTTCAGGGTGGCCGCGGAGAACGGGGATGCCTTCCATGGGTGAGGGAGGTCGGGTTTCACTTTGTGTAGGTCGTGTAGCATTGAGCAGTAGTGACCATGCAGGTCAGGTGCAAAGGTCTGGAAAACCCCTTATGCACACAGTCATCAACGAAGGTAGACAATCGTCTTGTGACGTGAGCACTTACTGCCAGCATTTCCTGAGAGGCGATGAAGCACAACGCTGTCAAGTATCATTTCGATCACGGGATCATGAGGTCGTGGGTGGCAAAAGGCTGAGGGCCCTAAGGATGAAATTAGCCGGGATCATAGGTCGAATGTAATTTATGACGCACCTGCTGGCCGCCTCCAAACGTCGTGCCCAGCGTAAATTGAGGGTATTGACCGCGGCGATGCTCGACAGAGGTGTTCCCCAAGCGTATCGACATGATCTTCTCGAGCACTTCAAAAAGCTCGGTCGCTGACGGTACAACCTTGGACATCCAGTCGGGATCCTGTGGGCGACGGGCAAAGACAGCCATGATGACGCCGTTCTTATCAGTGAGCGCAATGGTCTCACTGCCATGGACTAGTGTCAGACGAGGAAAGATATAGAAGACGAGCGACATACTCTCCATCCCAAGAGATGTAC